CCGTGCGCCGTTGTTTTTCCCTTGTAAAATTAAAAAAAAAAAAAAAAAAAAAAAAAAAATTACAACCAACCTTCTTTGGCTTCACATGTGTCTTTCAATTTCCCCTTCTCTGTGCCCAGGGGTAGTTGTTTGTGAGAGTTTCTTTCAGGTGAATGGATTTGGGGCCTCACGCCTGGAGGGTGGGTCACCATAGGTAGCAGGAGTAGGTCTGTGTTGGGTCTTGCAAACAGCAGGACAAAGAGAAGATGAATGGGTGGGTGGGACCCTGAAGTGCACCCGATATTACAGAACAGCACAGAACCTACGTGCAGGAGGGAGCTGGGCTGACAGGTCCTGCCTGGATCATCGCTGAGTGCTGAGCAAGGGAGTAGCTATTACTCATAGGCCAGGGACGTTGTTTAGCTTGTCAGCAGGGTCACAACGTCAGAGATGTCACTTGGAAAAAGAATCAGCGGACACGGGATAGGAGTTATTATTGGGGCCTGCTGGGCTGGTGACAGGGGTCTGACAAGAAACAGCTTCTGTGAAGCGGGGCCCGGTGGCCTCCCTCCTCACCCCCGATCTCTCTAAGGCCTGGTGAGTCTCTGTCCTGAGCACGTCTCTGTTGGCCCAGTGTGTCTCTGCAGAGGTGGAGACACAGTTCACCTGCACCCGATTGTGGAGGGGGCATCCAGACTGCCTTGGAAGGACAGGAGGGTTTCATCCATCCTCTTAAAGTGTCCTTTGCTGGTGCGTGGGTGAGTGCGCCCCCAGCCTCCTGGGACCTCAAAAGGGACAGGATACAACAGCTGGGTCAGCTCAACTGGAGCACCGCCTGGCTGCCTCCTTCGAGCGGTGGGTGTTATCACTCCGCCCGTCCTGTAGGGGGCGCCCTGGGGACGTCCTGGCTGCCAGGCATGCGCGGTGCGTGGCGGGGTTGGACGCTGGCTGTCCGAACCCGGAAGTGGAGAGACCCACGTGGGATCCCTCGTAGGGTGATGGGTGGTCCCCGTGCAGAGTAGAGGGTGATGGGTCCTGTCTGTGGGCGCAGACGCCAAGTACCTGTCACTCCCGTGTTGGGAACCTGAGCGTGGCGGCGGTGACCGGTCCCGGGGACGCAGCAGGAAGCATCGAGTTTCTAGCGTGGCCTGCGACATGGGGCTGCTCTCACAGGGTCCGACCTGGGGTTGCTTGGGTCGCCTGGTCACCCGTCATTTCTCCCAAGCGGCGCGGCGCGGGGAGCGGCCTGGCGGGGAGGAGCTGAGCCGCCTGCGCCTGGATGACCTGGCGCCAGCTCCGCGGCTGGAACTTCTGTTTGGCCTGTCCCCGTGTCTCCTGGCTCTGCGGGCTACCCGCCGCCGAGTGGCCCGGCTCCTGCTCCAAGCAGGCAGAGCCGGACTGCAGGGAGAGCGCGCCGAGCTGCTTCGAGTGGCCGAGGCGCGCGGTATCCCAGTTCTGCGGCCCAGGCGGCAGAAGCTGGACGCCCTGTGCCGCCACCAGGTCCACCAGGGTGTCTGCATGGAGGTGAGCCCGATGTACCCCAAGCCCTGGACTGAGGCCAGCGAGGCGACCCCTGAAGACTGCCCCCAGCGGCTGTGGCTCGTCCTTCAGGAGCTCCAAGATCCCCGAAATCTTGGGGCTGTGCTGAGATCCGCTCACTTCCTTGGAGTGGATAAGGTCATCACCAGTCAGAGAAACAGGCACGGACCGCCCTTAGTCCCCTGTGCCCCAACCTAGGGGCGCTGTCGAGTTCCTAATCACCTTGACCCTTGGGTGACCCCTCAGCCAAGCCTTGGCATGGCCAGAACTCTTACCCTTAACCCCTGGGATCGCGGGAAGGGTAGGGTGCTGGACTGAGTTTGCCCAGCCTAATGCGGGAATGGGGAATCTTTGCAGCTGCCCGCTCACTCCAGTGGTCAGCAAGGCCAGCGCGGGGGCTATGGAGGTGATGGACGTGTTCTCCACGGATGACCTGGCCGGGTTTCTGCAGGTAATCGGGCGACAGCGCACGGAGCAGAAATGACCTTCGCTCAGCCTCTTCAACTCGACCCCAGTCGATGGAGAGGGAGGAGAGGGCACGTTGTCATGCTTCCAGTGGCCTTCTAAATCCCTTTGGGAAGGGAAGGGTCCTGCAACTTTAAAAGCACCTCTGGAGCACTGTCTGAAGTTAGGGGCTTCATGGCGTCATTCCCTTTGCTCCGCTCTTCTCCCAGCTCTGCCCTCTGTAAGTCTACCTCCAGTGTCTCATCACCTACTAAGTAGATTTTCCTTAAATTCTTCTTGTGGGGAGCTGATGGGCAGGAGGCCTGGGTTCTTCAGTAGGGGCAGAGCTTGAAAGGGTCTTGGAATATGACTTTATGTCTTTGCTATCCTGGAAGGGGCAAAACCCTAGGAAACCCTGCTACATGCTGGGGTCTGCACCTGTGCTTCTCATGCTGGACACAAGGTGGCAGTATTGCCCCACGTTTGACACCCTCTTCCCTGATTTGTGAGCCATACCCCCTCGCCTTTAAAACAACTGATAATCAATTTATTAAAATAGTTGACTTGAGGATCTGCAATGGTGACTTTAACCTCAACTCCTGTTTAATATTGATGAAAGTAATCTGTTTAACAATCGCAGAAGGACTATGCAAATCAGTAAGTCACTTGTGGATTCTCATCTGGGAATGATCCATGTCTTAAAACCTTCACAATGAGATTTTCTTGTAGTGATTCTCACAGTCTGGGTAGGCATCCGAACTGGTCCTTTCACTTCGGGATTCTATTCCTTTGCACCTCTGACCAAGTCAGCACACACTTTGTCCAGGGACTTCGCATTGCAGCTGGTTAAAGTAATTCTGATTCGGTGAATGGCTCTGTCCCTCTGGCTCCACAGATGTTTTTCCAGTATCTTTAAACACCAGGGCAACGGTGGGGCTTCCTGACTGACTTGTTCCTCTGCAAGAGCGAAGAGCGTTTGCAGGTGCTGGCTGGCCGGAGCTTTCCCGCCCCTGTGTCCATGTCTTTCTCGAAAAGGAGAGAAATTCCCCTCTTGCGAAGAAGGAGCTCTGAGAAGAGCCTAGAACAATGTGTAAAGTATAATGCCAGCCACACAAGTTAGTTTTAGGTATTCTAGTAACCACATTGAAAGGTAAAGCTGAAATTAAATTTAGTAATTTACCCATTATATCCAAAATATCATTTCAGCATGCAATAATTTTAAATACTGTTAATGAAATATTTTACATTCTTGGGCCAGCAGGTGGCTTGGTAGTTAAGGGCACTGGACTCCCACGTGGGTGGCCATGGTTTGAGTACTGGATCTGGCGGCTTGCTTTCTCACTTTCCCTCTCTCACTTGGTCCCTCTCTGGTCAAATTAAAGTAAATAAATGAATAAATTAAATTAAATAATTCTTTTTAAAGAATTCTGACTTCCAGTCCTTGAACAAGGAATTCCTGAAAACAAAACAAAAAACCACTTTGCAAAGCACTCACTTAACTCCCATCATCACGTCTCCCTCCTCCTGTCAGCTGCTGGGCCTGCAGTCTGTCTTCGGTTCTGTTCCCTGGAAGAACTGGAGGGGCCTAGGCCGGTGTCGGACTGGGTCATCCCTGCCCGCCTGCTCAGACACTGCCCCTGCACGCTCCCTACTCGCACTGGCCACCACTGCCCCGCCCGTGTTAGCCAGAGTCCTCCCATTCTCTCGGTCTCACAGCAGTCACACCCTCGCTCCCACACTGAACCACGGCCCTAGTCAAGGTCACCGTGCTCCAGGTGACTGCATCCGGGGTCCGTTCTCCGTCCTCACCTGATGTGCGTTCTGGCACAGATAACTCCTTCCTCCTTGAAGCTCTGTTCTCTGGCTTTCTTCTGCTTCGCTGCACTCTCTCGGAGTCACCATTGGTGATTCCTCAAGCCTCAACCTCCAAATGTTAGAATTTCTCAGGTCTAGGGACCGGTGGGTGGTGTGGTGGTTAAGGTGGCTAGACTTTCTCATGGCTGATCATGGTTCTAGTCCCAGACCTGGCAGCTTCCTTTCTCACTTTCCTTCTCTCTCTCTGTCTCTCTCTGGTCAACTTAAAAAATAAAATAAAATAATTGCAATGAATAAAATTAAAACAATTCTTTGGAAAAAAAATACCCGGGTCTGGTCCTGGGAGTGCTATATATTCATTTCTCGTGGGTCTCCTGTCTCGTCTCACGGCTTTAAATGCCATCCAGGTTCAAATGCCTCTCAGATGAATATCCTAGCCTGGGCCCTAGGCTGGCTCTCACTCTCGAATTCCAAATTCACTCCTCTAGTTGCCTATTCGGTGGCTCTCTTGCTCTCTTTTTAAAAATGTATTATTATTATTTTACCTATTCATGAGCAAGAGGGAGACAGAGGCATCCCGACAGGGTCTTCACGTTGCAGTCCACTCCCAGTCCTAGCCAACCTAGAGCACGGGCACATATGCACACCCAGTGTGTGCGGGCGCTCTGCACATGAACCCGGGACCTTTCCCGTGTGGGCCCAGCTGTCACACTGCACACCTCCTGGTCCTGGCAGCTCTTCTGTGCTATCTAAGGGGGCCTTTCAAACTTCACGTTTCTGAAATGAACACCTGCTCCTGGAGCTTGCTGTTCTAGTCTCTTCTCTGTTGCTAATACCAGAAATACCCGCGTGTGCTGGTTTATAAAGGATGGAGGTTTGTTTAGTCGGTTTGGGAGGTCTGGGGTCCAGGGGCCGCACCTGGTGAGGGTCTTGTGATGAGGACTCTAACAGACTCCCAAGGTGCCACAGGGACAGAGCAGAACGTCTGTGTTTATGTGTTTGCTGTTTGCGTTCTGTACAGAGGAGAGAAACAGATTGTTCTCCTTTATTTATGACAGTGTTCATGCGCACGAGAGAGGGATGAGCACCCTCCGCAGGATCTGGTCACCACACAGTCCCCTCCTCCAGTCCTCAGCCGTCAGCTCTTCAGTGCTCTTGCTGCGCTTCATTCATTCATGTATTCATCATTCGTTCATGTTTGCCAGAGGGTGTGCGAACTTGCCAGAGAGAGACAGAGAGGGAAAGGGAGAAAGTACCCCCTGGGGACGGTCACGCCTCAATCCCTTCTCCTTTTCTTCCTCCTCTGGTGATTTTGGGCACACATGTACACAGCCTGGTGTGTTCTTCAAGCTCCCTAGTCTGGGAATTGGACTGTGCAGTCGACCATGTGGGATCCAGCACCTGAATCACCGTGCCTCTGGCTGGCCCTCTGCTCCCCTTGTGAAGCTACCAGGAGTCCGTCAGGGGTGTCCCACTCACTTCCCACCTTCCCACACCATAGTTGGATTAAGTCTCCACTGTCTCAACACTGCTACAGGGTTCCCCAAATTTCAGCACAGGAATTTCTGGGGGACACGTGCCAGCCATAGTACTTACCAGCTCTCTCGACAACTTGGTCCCTTTTGTTTAGGCCAGAATCTCAGCAGCGGCCTCGGTTCTTCCTGTCCCCACACGTACACCCCACCTGTCCCCATGCCTCCAGCTTTACCTGAAGTGCCCCGCATGCTTTCACCGCTTCTTCCCATCTCCCTGGCTACTGCTCTGGGCCACGCCACCGTCGGCTCTTGGCCGTGCCGTTGCAGAAACCTCCGAGCCGTGCCTGTCTTTCGGCCTTGGCTCAGCGCAGCAGGCTGCGTGTGTACAAACATGCGTCAGACCTCGCAGTCAAAGTCGAAGTCCTCCCAGTGGCCTCGGAGGGCCTACTTACGTGACTGTTGTTCCCTGTCCTGCGTCCTCAGTGGCGCCCTTCCACTGGTCGCCTTACTGCTTCTTAAACGTGTGAGATAAGCACCCACCTTTGGGCCTTTCTGCTTGCTGATCATTCTGCCTAGAATATTCTTCTCCCCTCTTTTCCTTCTGGTCAGCACTCAAATTCACTTCAGCGAGGCCTTCCCCAGCCTCCTACAAACTGGCTTTTTCATGGCTGTTTTTTTTTTTTTTTTTGAAAGGTTTTTGCTATAGGACACTTGTGGTTGCCAGAAAGACAGAGACGGAGAAATAGAAAGCGAGAAATCACCCTCCAGGGGGGATGGCCAGGCCTCAATCCCTTCTCCTCCATTCTCCTCTTGGGATCTTGGGCACGCACGCACACACGCCCAGTGTGAGTTCAAGCCACCAGGTCTGGGACTCGAACCATGGTTGACTACATGAGAGTTCAGCGACATAGCCATTATGCTAACTGCTGGTCCCTTGTTTTGTTTGTTTTTTAGCAAGGGTCTTGGTATGTCATGCTCCTCCTGCCTCAGCTTCCCAAGTAGCCAAGACTACAGGCATGTGCCCCTGTACCCAGCCTGTAGGGTGGGCTGGGCATCGAACCTGGGCCTCCCATGTGGCCTCAGCCCACCACGGAGCAGCACCTACCAGTGTGTGCTCTGTAGCTGGGCCATGGCTGTGCACTGTCCTCTCCCCATGGTCCAGAGCAGCCTGGTTAGTAACTATGGACCAAGCGAGTGGACTTGGATGGGCAAGGCTGGGCTCCTCCACGGTCAGGCTTCTCCATGGCCAGGCCCCTCCATGGTCAGGTGTCTGATAAGGGGAGGGTGAACTAGAGCATGACATCTTCTTCCGTCTTTCAGGCCAAAGCCCGACAGGGCTGGCTCGTAGCAGGCACGGTGGCCTGCCTAGGGCCTGAGAGCGCACAGCCCCCCAAGACCCCCACCATCAGCTGCTTGGAGTTCCTCTGGGACCGGCCCACCCTGCTTGTACTGGGTAGGTAGCTGACCCTGCTTCTGTGTGCTCAGGTGTCCATTTTCAAAGCACTTGGGGTCCAGCTGGCGCACCCTAACCCTCTGCTCTGTGCCCTGCAGGGAACGAGGGCTCCGGTCTGTCCCCGGAAGTGCAGGCCTCCTGCCAGCTTCTCCTCACCATCCTGCCTGGGCGCCAGCTGCCTCCTGGACTTGGGTCTCTGAACGTCTCCGTGGCTGCAGGTGAGTCCACCCCTGTCCCTTGTTCTCACCCACTAGTCCCACCAGTGCAGGGACTGTTACTTTTGTGTCCCGTTTATTGGATGTTTCATCTTACTCAAGTCACTTAATCTTCCCGTGCCTCAGTTGATTTACATCCTGAATGGGGAAATACATCCTCTTTTTCTTGTTTGCTGTAGGGTGCATGTGCTCACCAGAGAGAGAGAAAAGTGAAAAATTGCCTCCTCGGGGGTGGCCACACCACAGTCCCTTTTCCTTCGTTCTCCTTTTTGGACTTTGGGCATGCACACACACACACATCTGGGTCAGGGATTTGAACCAGGTAGTTGGCCACATGGGATCCAGCCAGCTTGAGCAACATGCTACCAACTGGCCCACATCACATCCTTTTGATGAAATGAGGGCGTGCCTGACGTGTGGGGGCTCCGTCCACGGCTCCGCCCTCTCTCTTCTCCTGTCCTTTTGTCTGTGCAGGAATTCTTCTTCACTCCATTTGCAGCCAGAGGAAGGGTTTCCCAGCAGAGGGGGTGAGACAGCACCTTCTCCAAGACTCCCAAGAACCCCCAGCCCCGTCTGAAGGACTCAGAGAGCATCAGCACCCAGGGCTGTCTTTGGGATCAGAAGAGAGATGAAGTGGGGGCTGACGTGGCCCGTCCGCGATGTGCACAGGCTGGAGTCAGGGCGGTTGCACACACATCCACGGCTCCAGGTGCCGGAGCCTGCCCGTGTGTGCGCCCTGGCCCCTGTTTGCTGACCACAGCCTTGGTGGAGACCAGAGGAGGTTCAGTTTCCTGTTTGGATGGACTTGCAGTTAGAGATGGTGGTTTAATTTCCAGAATGCACTAGAAGGAGGGCCCTGCTTTGGAAGTCAAGGGGAAGAGGGGGAGTCCAGACATCAGAAGGGAAGCAGGCAGCCCAGTCCAGTCCTACCCCACTGGAACCAGTTGTTGCCTGTGGTGAGCATGAGAGTGTTAGGGGAGGGAGGGTCAGGGCCCTCTTGTGCCACATCCGGGCTCGTGCAGCTCCCCACTGGGGGGTTTTGAGCCCATATCTTTGTATTTCTGTGCCCTGGGGCCTTTGTCTGTGCCCACCTCACAGGGTGGTTGTGAGGATCAAATAAAGCATCCTCTGGTATCCGGTATCCGATGCCTCCACTAGGTGGCAGCCTCGTTCTTTGGGAAGCTCTGACAGCCACCTGGGTAGACTTGGCTGTGGCCCTGCCAGAGACAGGAGGAAATTAACAAACATTTGAATACCTCCCCCCACCCCCCCCAGGACCCCTGGCGACTCATTAGTCACTTCTTCTCAGTGGACGGAACTCGTGAGCCTTAGCCCTGGCCTCTGAGCCAGTCAGGTAGTGACAGGATGGCTGGTAACCGTAAAACCCAGAATTGTATTTCTTACCTGGGATCCCACAGTAGAGTGGGGAATATAGGACAGTCTTGTCTCTACATTGGGGCTGCCTGGCAAGCTTTAAAACAAGCCGGCGCCAGTGAATGGCGTGGCGGCTACGGCTGCCAGATCCCACGTAGCTGGCTGCTGGGTTGAGTCCCAGACCCAGCAGCCTGAGAAGCCCCCTGGGGGCGTGTGTGCGCATGCCCACAGGAGGAATGGAGGAAAAGGAATTGCAGTGTGACTCCCCCGTGGGTGCTCCTTTCTCATTCCCTCTCTCTGGTAAGCATACATGCCCTCTGGAAAATTAAAAAGAGGAAAGACCAGAATCTGGTAAAGTGGGTCTGGGTGGAACCTGGGCATCGCGATTCCGAAAGCTCCTCAGATGGGTCGGTGTGCAGCTGAGGCTGAGAACCCGCCAAGCGGTCTCTCCACCTGGGCTCTGCAGCGCTGACGTTCGGGTGCCTCGGTGCTGAGGGGAGGCGTGGCCGACGTTCCGCAGCCCCTCCAGCTTCCACCCACTAGATGCCAGTAGTACCCCATCCTCCAGTGTGAAACCAAAACTCTCCAGAAGTGGCCACATGCCCCTGGGCGACAAAACTACCCTGGTTAGAACCACTGCCCTGGGACAGCACTCCCTAAATTGTTTATTGCTCGAGGGTACGTGTGCTTGTCAAAGAGAAAGTTGCCCCTCCGGTCAGGTGGTCACACCTGTACTTTTTCCTCCATTTCCCCATCCCATCAGGGTATGACGCACGTGTGCACACAATGCTTAGCTGCTGGGCTACGGAGAAGCCCCAGCACCGCCCAGGCCATAATCCCGATTACTGGGGAACTGTAGGGAACCTCCTTATCCACCTGAGCCTCAGTTCTGTCCTCAGTGAAAGGTGACTAACCTTACTTTCCTGGATCACTGAGAGGATAGAAAAGACAGTAGGGCCGGCAAGTGGTGTGGTGGTTAAGGATACTGGACTGCCATGTGGCCAACGGCAGTTCGAGTCCTGGACCTGGTGGCTTACTTTCTCACTTTCTCTGTCCCTCTCTGGTCAAATGAAAAGAAAGAAATAAAGTTAAATAAAGAAGAAGACAGTAGGAACTTGGTGCTTCACATGTAGTAGGTGCTCAGCAAATAGCACCCTCTGGGCTGGACCCCATTTGGCTGACTGAGTGGTTAGATCCTGGCCCTGTCAGCTGGAAAAGCACGAGGTACATGTGTTTCCATGTACCAGGTCCCTATAGGATGGAGAAATGGAGAAATTATGGCATAACCACGTTCCATTGAGGGATGCATTCTCTCTCTCCCTCTCTATCTCTGGGGAAACACATGTACCCTCTGGCAAATTAAAAAAAAAAAAAAAAAACAAAGGGACAACCAGGGGGTGTGTACAGGGACCACCAGGTGGTGTAGTGGTTAAGGTTCTGGACTCCCACATGACTGACTGTGATTTGGGTCCTGGACCCAGTGACTTGAAACTCACACCAGGTGTGTGTGTATGCATGGCCCAATCCAAGAGAACAGAGAAGGGATTGTGGCGTGGCCATCCCCCCGGGGGTAATTTCTCACATTCTCTGTATCTTCAGCAAGTGCATGCACCCTGTAGCAAAAAAATCTCTCTAAAAAAATAATACTCCCCTTTTTCTCTGGAATCCACCTATAATGGATTTCTTAGGATTCTAATGGTGATGCTATTTAGAACACTTGAATTTGCTTAAAAAAAATACCTAACATCTCTTTGAAGTCAAAGTTCTTCTTCTCAGGAGAGAGGCTAGAGTACTTCATAAACCCACTGATCACCACCGGCATCTGTCCCTCTTGGGCTCTTTGTCCTCGACCGCCATCCAGGCTCTGACCTCTGCTAGCATGCCTCGGCCCTGGCTGTCCCACATCGCTCCTCCTTCCTGCTGCACTCTTGTCCAAGAGACTTGTCTAGGATATTTTCTTTTCTTTTGAGAGGTTTTTGCTATAGGGCACATGCCTTGACCAGACAGACAGACAGACAATGAGAAATCACCCCCTGGGGGGATGGCCACGTCACAATCCCTTCTTCTCCATTCTCCTCTCGGGATCTTGGGCACGCACGCACACATGTCCAGTGTGAGTTTAAGCCACTGGGTCTGGGACTTGAACTGCGGTTGATTACATGGGAGTCCAGCAACATAGCCATTATGCCACCTGCTGGTCTCTGTCTAGGATATTTAAAGAATTTTAATGTATTTTATTGTTTTTTAAATTTGCTATAGAGTAGGACCAGCAGGTGAAGTAGCAGTTATGTCACTGGACTCCCCATGGCCAACCTGTTAGAGTCCTGGACCAGGTGGCTTGAAAAATCACGGCAGGTACATGTGTATGCAGGCTCAAGATCCTGCGAGGAGGAGGGCTCGCAGGTGACGTGGTGGTTAAGGGTGCTGGACTCCCACATGGCAGACCATAGTTCGAGTCCCGGACCTGGTGACTTGCTTCCTTACTTTCTCTTTCTCTCCTTCCCTCTCTAGTCAAATTAAAATAACAAACAAACAAAGTTAAAGAAAAAAATAACTTTTTTTTTTTTTTTTTTTGCTATGGGGAGCATGTGCTCGCCAGAGAGACAGAGAGACAGTGAGAAATTGCCCCCAGGGGGGATGGCCACGCCACAATCCCTTCTCCTCCATTCTCTTTCTGGGATCTTGGGCACGCACGCACATGCGCCCAGCGTGAATTTAAGCCACCGGGTCCGGGACTCGAAAGGTGGTTCACTACATGGGAGTCCAGTGACAGCCATTACGCTAACTGCTGGTCCCAAGAAAAAATAATTCATAAAAAATTCATTAATAAAAAAGAGGTCCTGGGAGGAGAATGGAGGAGAAGGGATTGCAGCATGGTCATCCCCCCTGGGGAGGTGATTTTTTTACTCTCCCTCTCACTGTGTGTGTCTCTCTCTCTCCAGTGAATGCACATGCCCTAAGGCAAAAACCTCTAAGAGAAAAAAAGTTTGGGGGCCAGCAGGTGGTTAAGGCACTGGACTCCCATGTAGTCTACCATGGTTTGAGTCCCAGACCCAGTGGCTTGAAACAGACACTGAGCGCATTTTCGCGCGTGTCCAAAATCCCGAGAGGAGAATGCAGGAGAAGGGATTGTGGTGTAGTCATTACTCCTGGGGGGTGATTTTGAACTTTCTGTCTCTCTGTCTCTCCAGAGAGCACACGTGCCCTATAGCAAAAATCTCCTTCTCAAAAAAGGTTTGGCTATAAGAAATGTATGCTCACTAGAGAGGGAGAGATTGCAAGCCACCAGGTCTGGACTTGAACCATGGTTAACCATGAGGGAGTCCAGCGCCTCAACTACCATACCACCCGCTGGTCCCATTGTGTAGGATTTTTAACTTTGGTTCTACCGTAGAGTCACGGAGGCAGGGACAGCATAGCTTTTAATATCCCGAATGCTCAGCGGCACCAGACCAATCAAATCACAGTCTCAGGGTAAGGAGCCTGAGGGGAATGGTATTTTCTAAAGCTCCCAGTTGATCTCATTGGGAACCACTGGCCTTCAAGCTACCCGCCTTTGTCCAAAAACACTTATTGCCTTTTACACCAAGAAGCACATTCACTGGGACCAGCAATGGCATAATGGTTATGTTGCTGGATTCCCACATGGCCGACCACAGTTCGAGTCCTCGATCCGGAGGCTTGAAACTCCTGCTAGGTGCATGTGCATGTGTGCCCCAAGTCCCGAGAGGAGAGTAGAAGAGAAGGGATTGTGGCATGGCCATTCCTCCTGGTGGGGTGATTTCTTGTTTTTCTGTCTCTGGTGTGTGCACAGATCCTACAGCAAAAATCTCTCTCTAAAAAAAAAGAAAAGAAAAAGAAAAAAACATATTCATACTTATGTGTTGGAGCTCGTGCCTGAAAGCTGGAGCCAGAGTGACCCCTCAGTTTCTGAGATTTTTCAGACGTGCGGCTCCAGTCCTGGCTCTAGAGGGCTGCTCAGTGTGTAAAATGAGGCTGGTGCCATTAACAGTGACTTTATCTGCCCTCTTCCCGACAGGGAAGTTATACAAAAATAAAATGAGGGCATATCAGTGAAAAAGGTGTCACAGACCAGAAGGACTGTGCTGTGCACTTTAGGATTAGCACACGATAGTACGAACCTCAATGTGAAGGTAATTTTAGGTATCAGCTTGACGGGGCCATGAGGTGCCCAGGTCTTTGGTCAAACATGAGGGTGTTTTTTGGAAGAGATTAACATTTAAATCAGTAGACTTGAATATCAAACAGATGGCCCTCCCTAACACGGATGGGCCCCAATCAGTGGAGGGTCTGAACAGGTCTGAACAGAACAAAAGGTTGACCGCAGGAATAAGAGCCTTTAGACCTGGTGACTTGCCTTTTTTTTTGAGAGGTTTTTCGCTATAGGGTGCGTGCGCTCGCCAGGCAGAGAGAGACAAAGAGACAGAAAGCAAGAAATCACCCCCTGGGGGGATGGTCACGCTGCAATCCCTTCTCCATTCTCTCGGGATCTTGGGCACGCACGCACACGCGCCCAGCATGACTTTTAAGCCACCGGGTCTGGGACGTGAACCGCGGTCGACTACGTGGGAATCCAGCGACATAGCCATTACGCTAACTGCTGGTTCCCGTGACTTGCTTTTTCACTTTCCCTCTCTCTCTGTCTCTTTGTTTCTCTCTGGTCAAATTAAAATGAATGAATGAATAAATAAAATTAAAATAAATAATTCTTAAAAAAAAAAAGAAAAAACAAATGTGAACCGAAACACCAGCTCTTCCTGGGTCTTGAGCCTGCTGGACTTTGGGTGGGCACTGTACCAGCGGCTCGGTTCTCAGCCTTCAGACTCAGACGGAAACTAAACGATCAGCTCTCCC